GAAAGAGGTTTAACAGAACAAAACAAAAAAAAGGACAAAATAAAATTAAAAGAAAAATAAAAGAAACAAAGGAAAGAAAGCAAAATAAAATAAAAACAGAGACAGGGCGTCCATCTTCAGCAGGCCAGACTTCGATCTCATTTCCCCCATGAAGGTTTCACTTGACGGCAGGGTTTGTGGGATTTCACTTGACGGCAGGTTTAGTGGCATGGCAAACAATGCCTAACTCAGGCAAGTGTAACAGGTCTGCCTTGGCCAGTCTAGTCATCTAATAATGCACAAATATCACACAGAGAAAACATACAAAACCAAATTAATAGTCAAAATCCATCTACCAGATAATGTGGACATAAAATTTAGAATGATTAGGGTGGCATCTTTGTTCATATTTCAACCTTTGCGTTCTCAAAGTATAACGTTCAAAGAAAAACCTACCAATGCACACACAAAGTCATACTTTGACAGCTTAAAATGTGACTTCATTCACAATTACATTCTTACTTGTTTATTAAGTGTCACAAAAATAACACTGTTTTCATTGTGTAGTGATTCCCTCCTCATATTCCCTTGACTTACCATTGATTAAATACACTACAAGTTTCAGATTTTATTCCAGTTTTTAAAACCAAGTTTTCAGAATTCCATTTTACCTTTTCTCTATGTTTGACTTGGTGCATGAAATGTTTTATTAGTAGCACTGTTGGCCAAGGATATAATTTTATCTCCCAGTAGAATACAGCCATCACTACTTTTAAAGTCTATGATACATCCCACTGCATATGAATGCATCATATGATACATAGTGAATAAAAAAATCTTGCACTGTGGTCTCCAAAGCCATACTTGTTCCATACAACAAATTCCCTAGAAAGTTAACCCATATAAATTCACAACTTTATAAATTAAAATTAGTGACTCAGTTAGAAAGCTACATGGAAACAGAATTCTGACATTAAAAAAAAATTTGACCTTCATAACCCCATCACTTTTTCACCTGATTATGCATAAGTCTCTGTGGGGTCCAGAATGATTTTGTACACTAACATTTTTTCTGTAATACATTATTCTCACAAATGCCTAGTAAGTCAGCCACAGAGGCAGCTGGAACAAGATTTGTCAGAACTTTCATTTTATTCTCCTTCTATTCACTGTCTACCATCAAGAGACACAGGAAAATGTAGCTTTACCTGCCTGTTGCCACATCATGTCAGGCAGTGATCTCATCACAAGAAAAACACCAGGTAGTGTTGTTCATTTATTACGCAGCAATCTTCCCTCTCTCACAGTACAGAATCAGTGTTAAGATTATTTTCAGTGAAACAAAGCTAAGATCTGGAATAATCTGTAGTCAGCTATTGAGGGGCAATTTTTCAATAACGACTTCTAGTCCTTATTAGCCTCTATAGAGCTTCAAGAAAATACAGCAATATCCTCTTTGTGGTTTAAGAACAAGCTAAAAAAAAAAAAACAAACTAAAAAGCCCCCAAAACACAGCATAAAAGCAACTAAAGTCCAGCCTTCACAAAGACAAATACATGTGTCATATGTCCCTGTTAAGAAGGCTACAAGAATATGCAGTGTACTGTAGGTCAATATACCCTTCAGTGAAAGTACTTATAAAATTCTATGAAATTTTGGACACTTGTCAAGTTTGCTAGGAACATCCCAGACCGTTATTACAGCAGCACTAATCACATACCACGCAAAGAAATTATACTCTGGGCCTTATTGTTAACAAACTCCATGAAGTCAAGAGCACTTCTGAACCAAAACCTGACTCTTGCAGTTTAGAAGTTGTTAATAGGAGACATTTCTGGATATGATGCAGCTTATGGTTCAATTATTCTAAATATTGTTGCTTGTGGTAAAACAGCTACCACGTCCAAAGTGAAGTTAGTTTCATTCCACCAGCTGGAATGTTTCCACTCCAAAGAGGGAAAAAAGTCCAGAATCAAACAGGCAGATGCTCAATTCCACAATGATCCCAATGAAGTCAATAGGGCTCTGCCTAACAATATGCCTACAGTAGGGCTATGCTTCATGTAACTGTATTCAGATCTGGGATATTATACTGAACATAAAAACAACCTTGTATTCAATGCACCTGCAGAAGTACAGCCTCTAAGCTAGTTAAAGGAACACTTGTAAATCTAGTATTCACCAAGCATTTTATATTATTAATAGTTTAAAAAATATGTCATACTGGAAGGATTGCGTACAGATCATTGCATTTTTAAAGATCTATCTAAAACAAAGAAGTGCCAATATACATAAGAAAACCTTTTTATGGCACACAAAGTAGTATTTTCCACAGTAACAAGGAAAGAAAATAGGTATTTTTTTTAATTAAAAAATTTAAAATGTAGGTAAACATTTATATTAAAACAGTAATTATCATCATGAATGCTAAATATTTTAGATTAGACGAATCTAAAAGGGTCAAATGCATAAACATGTGTCTACAAGACAAAATTGAGATTCAGTCTAAATAATGGAAAAATCACCATTATCTTAAAAACAAACCAACCAAAACAACAGCAACAAAAATACCCCACCACACCAAAGGTTACACATAAAGATCCAAACTGCAATATTAAGGGTGCTAGTAAATTGCCTAATCTTTTCAAGGCTCTATTGACTTCAGTGAGAACTCTGTGTGGGAATATGCTTGACAACAAAAACTATATTGAAAGGAATTACTTTCCCTTTTACCTCAGAGTATGTAATAACTATGGAAAACTGAATTATCCTAATTTAAATCAATTATCTTTTTTCTAATGCTGAATTTCAAATAAATCTATATAACCGGGTTTCTTAATTCAATTTTAATTTTTGTTTCAACACTTTTTTTCAAAAAGCAATAAAATAAAATAACAACAGAGCACCACCTCCTTACATAAAAAGCTTAAAACAACTAGCAGACACAACAAAGACCAACGTTACAGAAGAATGTTGAAAATACCAACCTTCTGCGCAGGGCACAACTATCAAAGCTCTGTCAATAAAAACCGTGTTAGTTAGATGCTGGGCCACACCAACACTTGATGCTTCACGAAACTTAATATAACATACTTTGGAGGAAAAAGCAAGAGGTGCGTTGCTGCAAGATAAAAGGAAAAAAAAAAATCAGTCACATTAAATAATTGTATGCATGTATTTTTAACCATTACTCCTTAATTATAAAAACAGGTTTTAGACTTCCTAGAAATGTTAACCAAAAGGCAAGAGTACAGGAATCTACTAATTTGCCTAATTACTGTGTCACTGAAAAAAGCATAGCATAGCACCTTCTCCTTTCTAATGGAAACGTACAGAGGCCAAAATTCCAAACAAGGCTAATTTTCTTTTATAATCTTGCTAAATAATATTGACTAATATATTCCAAAGTACTATTTTAAGTAGCATATTTTTCAACACATTTATCAAATAAATAATTTATATTTTATATTTTTCTCACCAAATAATCCTTGTTTAGGAAAGCCAAACAACAAGCTCAGCCACTTTTCAGTGGGTCCTTCAGATATTAGTCCACAATAACCAATACTCTTTCATAAGTCTTCATGAAAGCAGTTTCATTAATTCTTATTAAGATACAGGCAGTTCTTCAGAGTTCTTTCAAATGTTAGGTCTTACTTCACTAATGCCACAAATATTTTTATCATCTGCCTTAATTGGGCATAGTGTAGTATGCGATAACACTGGAGGAGATAGGAGAAATTCACTATTCAGGTAGAAGAAGGAAGAAAATTTGCTTTTCCATTAGAAAGTATAGCAATAGAGATGTCAGAAAGCACAACATGTAAACAATGTAATCTTGATGAAAACCAAAGAAGTTAGCCTTAAAAAATGTGCTCCCTAGTTAAGGTTTGTAACCTTTATACAAGCAGTTTATTTCCTCATATGAGGGAAGTACACATGCTATTTTCAAAGAGATGAGGCAATAGGATATTGTTGGAACAGTAATTTCAATTTGAAAAGATCATCTGTCTTCCAGCAAAGCAGTAACTCATGGAAAATACACTGCATAAACTGTTTCATCTTGACCCTCCCTCAGCTGAAACAGAAACACTTGTCAACTTTCTGGGAGTACTAGAAGCAGTTCAACCTTAGCCCAACCCATCTTGCAATCCCTCAAATTCCAAGCAGGTACTCCCAAAATCACTGTATGGAATTAATTAGACTTTGGTATTGTTGTGTCTTATACAATTCCTCTATCACCCAACACCCCCTCCCCACTCGCGGTGGGGGAGTTGAGAAAAGGAAAGGAGATTAGTGGGTTGAAATAGAAATACATTTCATAAAATAATAAAATATTAATAACAGTTATAATGTAAAATACAGAGAGTTATACTCAGCCAATACTGTGGGGGAGTAGCCCTCAAGTCTCTCTCAAGATGTCAGCCACGGAAGAGGGAGCAGGAGGGAGAAGAAGAGGCAGAGGAGGAAGAAGGGCTGTCCACAGCAAACTCGCCAATTTATAGTGACTGTGACATTTATGGTATGAAGAGTATTCATTGGTCAGCCCAAAGTCAACTTGGCATTGACTCCTCTAGGTTTCTGCTCCCCCCAGCCTCTGCAACTTTATCTCAAGACCTTGAGCACTATCGCAACCTGCATACCAGTATTAGCTGAAACCATTAACAAAACTTTGTTCCCATGAACTTGTGTGTTGTAGTTCTTACAAAATCGCAGTTTTCCCTCAACAGAAAACTGACTCTAAAATTCTGTCCCACTAAACCAGGACAAATATTTAATACAAGCTCAGAAGTTTTAGACACATTATTTCATCATATTAACTAACTAAATGAACCAAGAACTTAGCCTGAGGCAAGCAGACTGGTATGTTTCTGGTTACCAGAAAGGTAACACCTAGGTAAAATATCTGGAGAGCTGACCAACTTCAAAATGGCATTCAGAAACATTTATGGTGGAAAATTCTGTGAGAACAGATCCACCGCGGCGGCAAAAATAAACGGAGTAGGAGAGACAAATATGAAAGTCAGACTTCTAGAATTGAGAAAAACATTACAAGATGACTACATCTCTTACTTTCTTTTTAATGGCTAAAGTTTTCAGTTTCAAATGTCCACATTCAGGAAGGAAATAATTGTATAAAATGGCTTCTGAGCCACCTGTAAGGTCTTGGTTCAGAACAGTTTCTAACATGAAAGATGACAGCAAGCTATGACTTTCTCAGTACTCAGCAGAAATGGTTGCATACAATTTCTAACATTACATATTCTGAAGAGCCAGACTTGGCTCACTGCAAAAGTATTTTTTGTAGCCTCAGGGCTGGTTTGTTGGGAGGAAGGTTGAAGGGGGTCTCTGTGAGGGAGCTGGGAGAAGAGGGTGTTTTGACTAGTTGTTTTTAAACGCCCAAGCCAGTGTTACAACCCAAATGGCTGAAGCCTCC